TTGGTAATTTCGTGAGAACTATTGACTTGTCCCAAACCTAACATTGAATGGGGTTTGAAAGCTTAAGGCTGAATCAGGCTTTTAATGGTTTTTATTTGTCTTGGATATGATGATCTAGCGAGACCGGTAAGGATAACATTGGTACCACATGCATAATGCATTTGAGTTGCATCGGAATCACACGGGTCGATGTGAATTGTTGCATTATCACTCATTATGCAATACTAGTGTGAATGTGGTGTTTTTATGTCCAACATGTGAAAATTGATTTAATTGTACACTTGTGGTAATTGGAATTGAATTTCATTTAGAATATGAATTGATGAGCTATGTTGTATATGTGGATTGGTATATTGGATTATATTATGTCTAATACATGGTTTTATGAAGAGTGATGGATTCAAATTGATGTGTTTATATTTTACATTGCTTATGATTATATTTTCATAATGATATGAATTCTCACCCTTATGTTGGAAAGATATTTTATACGATTTCGCTCAGATACCGGAGATAGCGGTGCTTCTTTCCAGGATTAGAGGAGGAAATAGATCCTTATTTATCTTCTTATTCCTAGGTGGTTAGTCATTTCTATGGTCTATGTAACATGGGGATATTCGAACTTATGTTTGATTTGTTTTGAGAGATATTTGATATTACTCTCTTTTATTTGGATATATATGAGATTATGTGATGTTTGACCTTGGTGCCTAGTACTTATGATATGATTGTCAGTATGGGATTTCAATAATTTATATCTTTATGTTTAGATAGTTATTCCGATGTGTGATGCATATTTTATATTGGTGTATGAAACGTGAATTTGAATACGTGTTATGATCATGAATAGTATGCATGTTTGAATTTTCTTTATCATTTTGTGAATTCAATTGTGACACCCTATTTGAGATATATGCTAATTTAATATGATTATTCTTTTTATGTCTATATGGGTTTAGAGGGTGTTACACAATGGAGGCGTTATGAGAGGATCAAAAAGGCTACAAAAGAGGCTTCGACTTCCCAGTCGAAACCTATCAAGAATACTAAGCGTGTCGAGAGAATGCAACTAGTAGAAGTGGAGAATCATTGTGAAGTTCTAGTTTAGAAAGGATCTTATCCAAGGTTAAGGTTAACTGAAAAAGAAAAGGTTATTGCTAATTAGAGGTTGGCTATAAGGGTAGCTCATTTAAGTGACAATAAACTGGTGGCAACATAGTGCTTGATATACTCCTACACCTGAGTATACTCCTATGTATGAAGGTGAAGAATGGGATGAAACTGACTATGGACCATCACTAGAAGAGGATATGGTGAATGATGACTATTATTATGGTGAAGTCTTCATCATTAATTATGGAATTATGTCGATTTAGCCTGCATAATATGACAGAGTCTCAGAAGTATCAGAAAATAAAGAAGATTTAACCTCCAATGAAGCAGCTGATAAAAAACCTTTATGCTACTATGTGATAAACAGTGGTGTGGTCGAAGAACAGAAGGTTGTGTTTGAGAAACCAACCCATGGATGTCATATCATCTCAAGCCTTTATTTATAAGGGCGAAGGTAGATGGCATGTCGGTAAACAAAGTGTTTATTGATGGTGGGGAAGCTGTAAATCTAATGCCACATGTTCTATTTAAGAAAATGGGGAATTGTGGGTCATAGCTTCGACCTCACAACAAGGTTTTATCAAACTATGAAGAAAAACCAGTAGAACACTGAATGTCATTAAAATCGAATTGGTTGTCAGAACAACAACTAGATCGACTATGTTCATGGTCATAAATTCCAAATCCAACTTCAATTTATTACATGGTCGTGAATGGATCCATGGAATGGGTTCAATCCCTTCGACTTTGCATCAAATAATTTCCATTTGTAATAAAGATGGCGTAGTGGAAAATATAGAAGTTGATTAGAGCTATTATAAAGTCGATGAGGTTATAAATGGAAGGAAGTCTTTCGACCAACATTTGGCGAATGTAGCATCTTGTGATGATGAGAATTACACTTTATAGCTGTAGAAATGTTGAGACTAAGTCATTGGATTCACATGACTCACATAGATCAAATAAAAATTACCGCTGCGCTTTATTAGCACCTTAAACATCTATGGTACTTTGCAGGAACCTCATTGAAAATTTGTGTATTCGTCTATAAATGTTGTATACAAAAATAAATGGTGGAGATGGGAAAAGAAGTTTTTTTTACAATTTTTTTTATAATTTTTGTGAACCTTTAGTGCCTACGTACCACCTTCCGTGAAATAGGGGATCAGGGTACTCGTATTTCCCTTTAAAAAAAATTAAAATGCAAGTGTTTGTTTGATTTTAAGAGACGAGACATCATCGTTACATCCGAGTGGAAGACATACTTACTACCCACGATTATGAGAATGGAAAATTTGCATCATCTCAAAATAGAGGAAATAGCTTGGATTTTAATATCAACAAAGCCTCACTCAACACCCAAGTTGAAAATATATCACTTCACTACATATCGTAGAAGTATAATAGCTTGCATCGCTACAAGGATTAACAAGAGTCTATTTCTTTGAGAAAATTTTAAAGTAAAAAGCTGAAGTGGAAAAATGATTTGAATGAGGTTGCTTGACTTTTAGTATTCTCACAAAAATATCAAAGTATGATTAAGTTGGTTAAAGTTTAATTAAGAAAATAACTTTGGAAATTCATGGACCTAAGTCTAAGTTTATTATGAAAGTGCTTCAAGTTAGAAAACTAGAAGACTTTTGAAAAGAAGGGAGAAGATTTTTGAAATTAAAGAAGATGAGAGGGGATGTATAGACTATCCTAAAGCATAAGGTAAAAGATAGGGAAAAGAATCGTCTAACCAATAAGAAGCCAATGCTTTACATATGAAGTCAATATAGAATTCTCATCCTTTAGATTGAAACCAACCAAGAAAAGATACTAAACCTCTTAATAGTATCAAGCTTCATATGCATTAAGTCTTCACAAAAATTGGGTAGAGTAACAATTGTATATAGAGGAATTCTCAATCATAGACAAAACATATAATTAGGATAACCTGCATACAAAGAAAATCAACCCGATGTCTTGGGGTAAACCCCAACAGCTCCAGACAAAATAATAATAAAGTCACAAGCTCCCAAGGGTAGTCAAGGCTTTTAATCCTAAGTCTGAGAGGTTCACGACTCCATACAACCAAGGATAGTAACTTAATAGTTCAAATGAGCTTAAGGTTTTTTTTTATTGTTCAAGTTGGTTATTAAGTGTCTTCAAAAAGAAAATAAAAACTCAAGTGAGCGAAATAAAAAATGACATAAAAATAAGTGCTCAAGTGAGCAAAGATAAAAATAGCATGAAATGTAAATGTTAAAATAAATGATGCGTAAAAGTAAAGGCGTAAAATATAAACATAAAGTAAAAGCACAAAGTAGAAGTCAATTGTTAATGAATTAGAAGTTAGAGGTTAGTTGGATGACCATCTTGAAACTTGCATTTGAAAACTTATTAGAAGATTTATAAAATAAAAAAATTCTCAACAACAAGTTTCATTTGCTTTTTGTCAAGTATATCATTCATTTCAAATGCTCAAGACGACTTCATATGATCAACGATGTTCAAATAATTCACTTAGACCAAAGTTTATGAAAGTGTATTAGAGGATTGATAAGATCAAAGCCTCTTAATAATAAACCTCAAGGTTATTGGATCCAAGGTTTCAAATTAACATGATTGGGCTTGAAAATATATATTTGGGCCACGAATGATCATTTCTCGAATTGGGACAAAATTTAGCGCTATGTTAAGCAAGCGTAAGTGGACTAATGTAGAAGTCACACCTATTTTGAGACCGATCAATAGCAATCTATGTACCACATGTTAGAGAAATGATATATATAGATCATTCTCCAACAACATGTAGCACTAGTGAGAAAGGGATAAGAATTGAATTCCATGTTTGAACCAAATAATTTAATTAAGCTATCATTAAAATCTATCCATTTTTGAGTTAAACTCAACACCCAAGATCCAATGATGTTAATGAAGTTCATAATTAAAATTCTCATAATTCAAGATCAACCAGAATATATATAAAAGTAGAATTACATTTAATAAGTAAGACAAAATGAGAAAATGACTTTTAAACTATTTTTAAAATAGAAATAAAAGGAAAAATAGAAAATATATTCAAAATATCAAATAAAAATTAAAAGAGACCATATAAATGTCAAAAATGATCTCAAGTATTTTTACATATTTTTTGGTAATTTTTTAAAACAGAAAAGTATTTTTAAACTATTTAAAACTAATCAAGTAAATGAAAAATGATTAAAAATAGTAAAAATAAAAATAAAATTATAAAAAAAATTTCAGAAGGTCAGAAACAAAGAAAATCATGTTTATAACTTTTTTCAGAATTTTCGAAAGAAAAATGAATTTATTATGAATTTTAGAAGTTAAAAACGAATTAAAATTAAAATAATAAAAAAGAAATTAAAACAGAAAATTTGTAGCCATTAGATCTGGTCAAATCAAGTGTAGTAAACACATCAGGAGATCCAGATCTGTAGGCCTATGGTTATACAGTGTACACACGCGCATGGAATCACAAATATTCATCCTCTTCTCAAGCGGGGACAAGTGTCAGAGGGACCACTTTCCTCCAATGGCTACCTAACGCAGATCTCAAGGCAAGGGAGTAAAAAGAGACACAAAACAAAAATTTGCAGTATCATTACTACATCAAGCGATAACTCTTCTCTCTTTTTGTACCACTCGGTTCACTCTCTTTCTTAAATCATCATCATCATTTTATATAAAAAAACAATAGAATGGAGAAGATGAAAAAACAAACGGCAAGGTTTTAAGAACTCGAGGGGGCCTGCGATGAATTCGCGACAGCGCCACCGCGAGGGAACTCTGATCCCAGTTTTTTTCCATGTTTTTAAACTCAGTTTTTCATCCTCTATTCAAATCCGGAAGAGATTTTGAAAAAAGTTTAAGGAATCTTAGTAGATCTTGAGAAGAATTATCAAAAACTTAGTTTGAAAATAAAAACAACAACCACATTGAATAGCAGATTTAAAGGAAGATTCGTGATTTTTGGAGGAATAACAACCTTCTATGGGCGAAACAAAGGAGAGGCTGTATTTTTCAGCAAAATTCCGGTGATATGAAGTGATTCTGGTCACAGGAGGAATATTTTCGGCGAGGAAGGGTGGACGCATTTCCGGCAAAGAGGCAATTTGGTTGTCTCCAACGAAGGTGGTTCAGGTGAGTTCAGACGATTAGGGTAGAGTTCCGGCGAAAGGATTCTAACCATTTGCTCCGGTGAGGATTCAGAGGAGAGGTTCTATTTTCATTTTCTGAGTTTATTCTGAAATTTGTCAGTCGATGAATCCCCCTCCCTCTGTAGCTTTCAATCAATGCTTTTATATATATATATATATATATATATATATATATATATATATATATATATATATATATATATATATATATATATATATATATATATATATATATATATATATATATATATATATATATATATATATATATGTGTGTGTGTAACTTAGGGTTTTTTGTACTGATAACAATTTGGTTGGATTTAAACATTTTTGGACTTAAAATATAATTCTGAGGAAACATATCAAAATCCCTTTTAGAGCCCATACGGGAATCCTTCATTTTAAGTCCAAGAAAGTTTTTTGTTTGCCTTGCTTTTGTTTTGGCTGGAAATTGTATTGATGGATCTTGAATCCAAATCGGTATTCGGCTTAAACTTTGGCATATATTTGGAACCAAATGTGAATATGACTATTAGAAATGCATAATTGTGGGCCTTATGCTTGAATTGTGTTGAAATTGCTTTTGAATTTTAACCCTTTTGAATGTCACTAATTTCACCCTTTCTCTTTGTATGTGTTAAGCAATAAAATGGTGATGGAGAGGGCATATGGAGCTTGAAGATCAAAGAGAGGCCGAGGTAATTTTTGAAGAAGATGATGAAACTTGTCATGAAGGAAATGGTGATTCAAGAAATCATTCAAGGCTATTAGGAATTAGGAAAAATTGTAGAATTGATGTAACTTTGGAGTTATAGAAAAGAAAGACTTGTTCTTGTAGTAATATAAACTTGAATGGCTTCTGTAAATTTGACTCTTTTAGGCTTTGAATAGTACTTGGATTATTCTTGGTACCATGAAAGAGATCTCTTGAAGTTTGTACGGAAACTTGAATGAGTCATGTATGGAACTTGAATGAACTTGATTCTCATGTATAACTTTTAATCATGAACTAGTAACAAACCCGTGCTATCGCACGGGTCTCATCTGGATTCACATTACATTTATAGATTATTAAATTATTAAGTATGTTACCATGTTTTCAGTTGAGTATATGTCTCATGTAAACCATGTTGGCATTTAATTTCATATTTGTAGCAAGCGTCGGTCCTATCAACAAATCACGTCTGCATGAACAAATAGGAAAAATTATATACTTCTTGAAATACATGGAAAATGTACATACTATATATTTTAATTCAAAATAGATTTTTAATTTGAATCGTAAAGTATAAGATATAAAGTTTACCAACTATCAAAGTGCTTGAAAGACTTCCTTGTACACAACATTAGTAGTAGTAGAACACGGTACATTCTCCTTGTCATGAATTAGGATTTTTAGCCCACTTTTGCTCTTAACTCTTGAAATTGCAACATATAATTGACCATGGCGGATCTGCACACAAAGCGGAAGGATTGGAGTCCATATAAGGTGGCTGCGGATCTGTGCGTAAAGCAGAAGGAATTAGTACAGTACCATCGAGAACTTAGAATATACATTGTGAATACCTTCTTAACTCAAACAAATGCAGTGAGTCTGGCGGCGTCGCCGCGGATCTGCACGCAAAGCGCAAGGATTGGAGTTCGTGTAAGATGGATGCGGATCTGTGCGTAAAGCAGAATGAATTAGTACAGTACCATCGAGAACTTACGATACATTGTGAATACCTTCTTAACTCAAACAAATGCGGTGAGCATGGCGGCGGCGCCGCGGATCTGCAGGCAAAGCGGAAGGATTGGAGTCCATATAAGGTGGCTGCGGATCTGTGTGTAAAGCAGAAGGAATTAGTACATTACCATCGAGAACCTACGATATACATTGCGAATACCTTCTTAACTCAAACAATTGCAATGAGCGTGGCGGCGTCGCCGCGGATCTGCACGCAAAGTGGAGGATTGGAGTACGTGTAAGATGGCGGCGGGTCTGTGCACAACTCAGATGGAATAAGAGCAGTGGTTTTGTTTTCATATGTCCTTAGGCGTTTTTGTAATTTTGTTTTAAGGAGAGCGGGCTCGTTCAATGGTTTTGATTTTAGATATACAACTATTAAAAAATCCGTGGTATCATATGGGTCCTGTCCGAATTTCATATAATATAGAACTAACTTTGAATTGTAATAGATCATTCGTATATATTATTCAAATTTAAAATATTAAAATGATTTAACCAAAGTTCAATCAATTAGAAAAAAAAATTAGTGTATCAAATTAATTTGCTTTCCATCGATAACATTAATGATAACAATATCGTATTTGAACTTTAGATATGAAGCAACCTGCTTTCCATTGATGTTTTCAACTCATTAGTCTGCATGATAATTTGTGCAAAAATCAGACACCAAATATGCAAATAATTTATAAATAAAAACATTTGTGTTGTCATGTACTTACCCATTAACAAAGCAATTGAAAAATTTCATTGTATACAACATTTGTAGTGATAGAAGATGATACATTCTCATTATCATGTATTAAGATTTTAAGACAACTTTTGCTTGTAACTCTTGAAATGGCTACACACAATTGTCCATTACTAACAATTGTCCATTACTAAAAACAGGAGTAGGCAAATACAATCCAACGATATCAAGTGATTGGCCTTGGGATTTATTAATTGTCATTGCGTTAGAGACAATAATTGGGAATTTTCTCCTAATCAACTTAAATGGTCACAGTGATTCAAAATATGACATAGACATTCGAGGGATGTAAAAGATGTTATCTATGTTCTTTACATGCATGACTAATAAATATAGACTAATAATATGCACTTGTTTTTTAAGCATTAATATGTATTTATAATAAATCATACAGACTATTCACTAACTTCAATTATATAAGATTTAAAAGATGAATATTAAAATTAACAATCTATAGCCAGTATCTCATAGATGCGTTCTCATCTACCCGTGAATTAAGATGATTTAACAAACCCAGTTGAATTTAAATGAATTAGTTCTAAAAATTTATTAAATCTATTTTAGATATCAACCCATTTTTTTAAACCTAAAATATATGACAACTCCCGTCAAATTTATACTTTTATATTATATGTGCTCACATCTACGTGAGTTAACGAAATTCAGTTGAATCCAAATGAATTAATTTTAAAAATTTATTAAACATATTTTATATATTAATCCATTTTTTCAAATTAAAAATGTATGACATCTCCCGTCAAATTTCAGTTTTAAAACTTTTATATTATATCATATTTACATATTTTTTTACAACTTATAATGTATAACAGTTTTCCGTTAAATTACAATTATTTTTAAAAAGAACATAAAAAATAAATAAAATTTATAGATAAAACTATTGTATATTATTTTCTATATTTATTTAATGAATGAAATTTATTTTAGATGAATTTATTTTCTAATTTGTATTTAAAAATATAACTTAATTGTCATTTAAAACAGTACATTCAATTCTTTAACTTCAATTATCTGGTATGTCATAGATACATTTATTCTACCCGTGAATTTATTTCATGTACTCAGTTGGTTAATATTAATATAATTACAATATATAATCATTTATCAAATTTGAATTTCTCATTTATAAAAATAATTTTAAATTATTCTCGTTTATAAAAATGAACGCGTGTGTCTATTTATAAAAATATATGAAACTTATACTCTTTTATAAATATAATTGTATCAATACTTGAATTTTTCTGGTTTATAAAAATATTTATAATTTATTCATGTTTATAAAAATTATTATAATTTATTTTTAGTTTGTAAAATTAATTATATTAATATGTAGACTTTTTCTCGTTTATAAGTGTCTTTAACCCGTGTGACAATTTATAAAAACATTTTAACTTATTCATGTTAAAAACAATTACATCAATATTTGAATTTTGTTCGTTTATAAAAATATTTGTAAGTTATTTAAGTTTATAAAAATAATTGTAAAAATAAATATTTACCATATCATCTTAAATTTATTTATTCAACAGTGATAAATATGTGTCTCTTAGTTAATTACATTTATAAATAAATATCGTGTATTAGTGATATATATTAAATTTATTATCTTAATGTCTAACTAATTAAAATGAATTTATTATTGTCAATCAAAAATTATAATATTAAATAATAATATAATATTATTATTATATACGGGAAAAAGAATAAATTAAATCTAAGAATATCGGAAAATTTATTATAATATTAAATAATAATTTAACATTTATTATTACAATGAATCATATATAACATTTCAAAATTATGTATTTATTTCTTATGTTTTATTATATTCGATTTGTAATAAATATTTTTCAGTTTATTGCGAATTTTCAATAATTAAATATTAATGATATTATATAAAATTAATTTCATGAAATAAATTTATTTAATAAAGTGTTATATAAATATTTAATACATTATATTATACCATTAATTTATATAAAATGATATTAACTTATTCTTGTTTATAAAATTATTGTAACTTTTTTCCGATTTATAAGCATGTTGAATTCGTGTGTCAATTATTAAAATATATGTAATTTATTATTATTGATATAAATAATTTTATAAATAGTTTAATCTATTACATTTATAAAATTATTTATAATTTATTCACCTTTATAAAATTAATTATAAATTATTTAATTTATTAAAATGATTGTATCAATAATTTTTTATTTTATCATAAATTTTTATGATTATCATTTATCATTAAATTTTCATGATTACCATTTAATATTTTTTTATCATGATTACAATTATAAAGTTAATTTGAAAAGATTATGATATATTTTAGTTATTTCATAAACATAAAAAAATTATCAAATCTCAATTGATTTTGTTTTGTTTTATTAACCTTTTTATAGAAATTGAAATAATTTATTTTAGGTCAAATAAGGATCTAAATAATTACAAAATAATATTTATTCTTACATTTATAGAATGATAAATTAAATATTTAAGATAAACATTAGAGTTCTTATTTACTTTATCTTTTATATATTTATAATATACTTTTTTTGTTAATTTTATTAACAATATATTTATAGTTAACAATACATCCTTTAAACTACGTTATTTTTTTCAAGAATATAAATGTAACCTTTCAAAAAATATACACAAATATATTTAGAAGTAGGTAGAAAATTTTATTGGTTAAATTATAATTCCATTCAAAATTTATTAATCATAAATTTTTGAAATCAAATCATGCATAAAAATAAAATGTATTAATGTGACCATTCAAAATATTTTCTATATATAATAAAAATAAATAATATTAATACCTCCATTCAAAAGATATATTTGTAAAGTTTTGATTTAATTTTTTTCATATCTTTATATATTCTAATGTATATAATATTCC